ATAGCATTGTATCAAAAGAGCTGTTGTTTCATCTTCATCACTGGCCAAAAGTAGATTTGACTGGTCAACATTAAAAACTAACAATTGAACCATGTCTTTTAGTCCWATAGTCCCAGAAAAACRTTRYCAAACTTCATGATTTATCTAAGTTGTCTCACCTGAAGGTCTGCCAGACGAGAAGGTTCTGGATAAAGGTAATAGACCACACCCTGCCAGGCCCCTGGCAGTGTCAACCCCCTGACCAGCAGAATGACCAACATTACATAGGGGAACACTGCCGTGACATACACCGCCTGAAATTTCAGTGGATGGATAACAGGTTTCAGTGTCAGGTTACAGAAGTACTGCCCCTATGATCCTGATAGTGTTGGTCAAGAGGTGCTTCCATGCCATGTCAGCACAACAGAAAGAAAATGAAAGATAATACCCCATAGTTACAATTTGTTACAAGTGTTTGATAACTTTGCCAGGACAGTAAATACGTGTTGGTACTGTAATTAGGACTGACAACAATAAAGCCAGTATGAACCAAATGTCAAAATGCTGCTAATTTTTATAAGATGAGACGGTTGAACCGATGTAGCAGATGTACAGTGATGGCTGTTGTTCAATGCAAATGTTGTTAATGTACTGTAACTGTACCAGCAGTAAGTGGGACAGTCCCTGCTGACCATTTGTTGACACTGCTGCTGCTTCTGTTAGCTACAATCCTCGGGTCTGTGGTGGACATTTATCTCGAGATGTGAAATAATGAGTTTCTCAGACCAGAGTTGTCTTTGGGTCTTTAATAGAGCTCTGCAGAGGGTTTCACACTCAGCATGAACGCTCAGAGTGGAACCTCGAATAGGGAAAGAAGAAGTTTTTTATACAGTCGGGTAAACAGGAAACATAAGAGACAACCATTACTGAATAATAGCATGAACACTGAAGCCACCTGTAGTCTGGTTGACACAGGAAACCGTCTGCTTATGCTTCTGCAAGAAACAGGACGTTTGCTAAAAGCACAGATCAGGGTCAACAAGAGGATCATGAACTTCAAGGTTGCATCAGTCAAGTGCACAGCAACGCTCAGGGCATTTGTTAGTTAAAGGTAAAAAAGAAAAAAGTATCTGTCTAGTTTCAAATCACCTGTCTGCACTTACGCCAGACAGCTCCTCTAATGCGAGCACAACTGTATTTCTATATGAGGAGTTATTGTTGAACACAGCACACRAGCATTGATCAGACATAGGAAAGAATTCAAGCAAAGTTCATATGTGAATTTCCTATTACAGGTCCTTGACATTCCCTGTTATCTCTGAACTATGATAGAGAATTAAACTGATGTGAACATTGTTTCAGTGGTGGAGAGTAACATTTACATTTAAATTTGCACATATGTTTGAAGCAGAGTTTAGGACAAAGATGKAAAGGGAGGGGGGCTCTGGCCCAGTTTTACTCCATAACCATAGAAAAAGTCATGACAAATATATGATTAACAATTAAATACTAAATTAAATACTTGCAAGATACACCATTTTGTACAACTAACAGTCCCTCCAATAAAATTTAGTGAAATCATTAGTAGGCTATATAAACTGAATTAGTAGCAGACAGGTCTGAACTGTATTCTGCTCACAGACCTTTCCTGTGGAGCGAACACCTTTCCAAATGCAGAAGTAACAGGCCACCCAGCAGGCCAGGAGACACAACAGCAGCTCCCATTTCACTGTGCCAACCTCGTCTATTCCCCCGGACATGGACAACACTCCTCTCCTGTGTGGGGACACCAGACAGTGAGTGGTGGTTWSACATGCAAAGAATTATTGTCCTCAACAAGGACAGAATTAATTTATACCTTACAGTAATTTACAATGAGCGGTTTGTGTGGTAACACTAACTCACTCCCAGAACTCAGAGACTGAAGACTTGGTGAGATTTCCAGAGGTCCAGTTTCCTGTCAGGTTGCCAGTGTGTAGTGCAGTCCAGTTTGCAGATGTGAGGTCCACACATCTGTCTGTTGACAGGAAAATAAGTGTTGTTTAAACTTTAATCTTCAGATAACACAGAGATTAAAATGATTGTCAGAATATGATAGTTATCTGGTTATTATTTTATGTTAATAAGTAAAAAAATACAAGGATTAGATAAACATTTTTTTACAAATGGTTCAGTGGTTGACTGGAGCTCTGACAGCATGGTCCCATACTCTCTGAACTGAACACAACCGAATGGGGGTGCCCTGCAAATTAATCATTTTTGCTGACAAAGAAATTAAGGAAATTACGCAAATCACCACTCAGTAAGAGAGAATCGCTGACACAGGATTAGTATTGAGTATTGGTAGTTAGTATTGAAGTAATTAGTATTGAGGACTAGTATTATGTTTGTGTGGCAAACTGGGTTGAGGTTTGTTGCAACAACACCACCTGGGGGAGTTTCACCCCCAGGATATTAGAGAGGAAAAAGTTTTAATAAGACAAGATCACACAAGTTAAATTATCCAAGGGGGCAGAGAGCATTCGATAAAGAATACATTTTATTAACAACAAATTCAATTAACGCTTAACAAAACAAAAACGAGCAATACACTGGCTATCAGGATACCAGGCGGAATACCATAAAATGGCACTCAGGCATAGGGATCAAAAGGGAGGAAGGACAGGGCTTGGCTGGGGCTTACCACAGTGGCAGGGAAGCAAAAAGGAGAGGGGACCAAAAACTAACCACCAGGGACTTGGGCTGCTGCCTGGGGCCCACAGCAGCCGTCCAACCAAGACAGAAAAGCTAAAACCATGCCATGAGTGCATAAAATTTAAACTGATAGCCAAAAGAAACAACAATGGTCACACATTCATCACATTCATCCACACACATGCACACACTTAGGACCAATGATAGAAAATAAAATAACCACACTCAAAGAAAGAAAAACAAGTAACTACAAAATAACAGAATATACAAAACAGAATAAATCCTACAATTTATGAAAACGAAACAAAACCAAATTAAACTAATTTATACAACAATGGTTAAAAATAGTGGCGTCAGAAGTTCATTAGCCGATCAACATGTGTGGAGAGGCCGTGAATAAAGCGGCCAGCCAGAACCAGAACCAGAGCAGGGTAGAGCAACCAGATCCCGCAGAGCCAAAAGAGCAGAACTACTCCAGGGAGCAGTGGCGAGAGACAGGCCACACACTTAACTGCAGCCTTTAAAAGCATAGGGCAAATAGTTAATATTTTCCAGCCACAGATAGAAAATATTTTGCCACATTTGTACATACCTTATTCTATGCGCAGTCCTACGGCCAGCAGAAGGGCAAGAGTGCTGTGCCAAATGGCATGAATACGCTGCCCTCAGTATAACACGCCACGCCACGCCACGCCGCAGCCACCCGAGGGATCAGAGAGTGGAAGGAGAAGGTGAGGTGTGGCCGCTCACCTGGTTAAAAGCAGCGGACAGGCGCCGCCCAGCAATCAGGGTACCATAACCCTGGTATAGTGCCATACAGTGGCAGGGAGGAAGACAACCTGCTACATTTGCATATGTCAATATTAATTATTATATTTGCCCTGCTACATGCTGGTGACCTGTCAAGGACGTACCTGGTGTTGTAATGCAATAATGCAAGATAATGATATCACAACCAACACATCAACACCCTGCTCACAGAACATGATTGTGCAAATGAACGGTGCGATAACAACGGAAGAGTTTCCCAATGAGTACTGAGGCAAACCAGGGGAAACAGCCATGCCAATCCAGCCCACAGAGCATATCCACAAACTCAGATTAGGGGACATGATAGGGAGAGCGTTCTACCCAGTCCACATATTGCAGCCACTGGGCACATGGCACTGGACACACCTGCAGCCCGTTGGCTAATCAGAGGGGATATTTAGGAGCCCAGTTTCCAGGCGCGGAGGGCTTTTTTTCAAAGGATCAAGCAGGTAACAGGAGAGACACCAAAAGGCTGGCAAGAAACTGGAGTCCATTGCCACTGGGGAAAAGCTGGGCCCCCACAAAGGCTCACAGATCTCTCTCTCTGCTCTGCCAACAGGAAAGCAGCACTGCTCTTGATTAAGGCCAAGAGGTAAAAGACCCCGGATGGGAGGAATCTTTTAGTTATAGTTTGACCCTCTTTCCCTTCCTCTGAAACCCTTTTTATTAAAAGAAACCTTATGTTTAATGTCAGTTGTCTGAGTCTCCTGATTTCAGTGTGAATCTTGCCTCCATGTTCCCCTGGGTAAGGCAAGTACGTAGCACCGTATGTGGGAAAAGCGACAGAGAAGATAAGAGTTGAAGTTGAGGAGTGGTAGACATCTTGGCAAGAATACTGGTTACAGGACCAATAAATGGCAGACCAGGATGAACAGCATAATGTCACATGTTTCCTATAATAACCAAAGTATAGAGGTAATGACAGTATGTGCCATGGCCATTTATAGACATGGTCGTTTGGAGAACAGATTTCCAGACCTCACTGATGTGTGCAGTGAGAAGTGGATCACTGCACTTGAGGAAAGGCCAGCAGGAGTGACGCTAGCTCTAGGCGACATCAAGGCTTTAATCATCCATGTGGCTGGAAAACACATGACTGAAGAAATCTTCTGCAATGCACAGCTGCCAAGAGTGATCACTGGAAACGATGACATAGGGTTTGGAGGATATTATAATCGAGTATGGGCCGAGCTGAGAAAACAGTTAGAAAGTAATGGTGAAAAAGGCGACAAGAAGTCCAGAAATGTTTAGACAAGGTTGTGGGACTCTTGAAAATGGAATGGCCCCTGTTCTCAGAGAACATTGTGCATCATGTGGAAAACTGCAGAAAAGAAAAGTGTAGGGAAGAGAAAGCAAACAGACACCTAGCTAACAAACTGACACTGCTGCAGCTGAATAAACGGACCAAACCTAAAGAAGAAACCTAAAAAACAAGCCCCTGTGGTCACAGTGGATCAGGCCGAAATGCAGACAGCAACATGGCACAACAAAACCCCACTGTGGCCCAAACAAAGGTCCCACACGCAACAGTACAAGCAGCTCCCATCAACACTGCAACCGCCACCGATTCATGTGCATATTAACCAGCCAGGGCCCCCTAGTGGCAATTATCGCCCCAGAGGACGACCAGGACAAAGACATGGTCCTTTCCAAAGAGGAGGGGGAAGAGGTTTTTCCACACTCCAATACAGGCACTCTCAGTCTCACGTGCAGATAAACCAACCACACCAGAGGAAGCTTAAAACAGGGGCTAGGCTACCATATAGGAAACAATATCCATTACAACAGAATGCTACTGAAGGAATCATACCAATAATTGATGGTCTGATGAAAGTCGGAGTATTAGTAAAAACCAAAAGCCAATGTAATACCAATCTTTCCTATAAAGAAACCACACTCAATGATTATTG